AGTCTACCCTGGCCACAGGTCAGCCAAAATACAGTTCCACTGGGGGCACCGCCGTGGAGGCCGTCAACCACAAGTCCAGCAGGTCTGCTGGCAGGTTCCGGATCAGCAACGCTGGTCAGGCCACTCCACGAGCGATACTAGGGTAGCGCCCTAGTCAGGAGCCTCGTGTGATACCACAAATCACTCTCCTGTCCTCAAAACCCCAGTGGTTAATCGTCTCCAGCAGTCGGTCCCGGGAACGACGATCCTTTCAACTGCCACTTCACTGGCAGGGTAACACCACAGTGTTCATCCGGGAGCCGACTCACAGCTGCTGCAGCTAAGCACATGGTATGGAGACGGCTGCCTTGGGTAGACTGACTCAACTTCCATCACAGCAGTCCCAGGTCGACTCTGTAAGCAGACACGTCATCAATAACAGGGACTCACAAAAGCACCTCACTTACAGGCTCAGACACAAACGCCCACCTATCCACTCCATAGATGGCGCTGTTGTCTGAGCACCACCTCACCAGAGGTCAGCAGCGGCTGTGTTGTGAGCTGAACCGGACTGGAAACTGGCGTTTGTGGCCAGTACACCTTGTCCTCACCAGGTGTCGTCGGCCATTTGGTGGGGGTTTCGGGAGCTGACCCACAGATGGCGCGGTCGTCACTGCTCCATGCTCGGACACTGGATCCGGGTTCGTAACAGTGTGTGTGTCACCAGTGTGGTGGTGTGTGTCACCAGTGTGGAGGTGTGTGTGTCACCAGTGTGGTGGTGTGTGTCACCAGTGTGGTGGTGTTTCACCAGTGTGGGGTGTGTGTCACCAGAGTGAAGGTGTGTGTGTCGCTAGTGTGGAGGTGTGTGTTAGCAGTGTGGAGGTGTCCCACCAGTGTCTAGGTATGTCACCAGAGTGAAGGTGTGTGTGTCACCAGAGTGAAGGTGTGTGTGTCACCAGTGTGGAGGTGTGTGTGTCACCAATGTGGAGGTGTGTGTCACCAGTGTGGAGGTGTGTGTGTCACCAATATGGAGGTGTGGGATCTCTAAGTCTCCAACGCGTCCTCCTATGGTTTCCCAACGTCAAGATAACGGTCAATTTAAAGTGTCCTCTCCTAACCTACCAGAGGACCCAAGACAGAAAACGAGACAGTACTTCACTTTCGCGAGCCGCTTCCATTTTCTAGTAAGACCATTTTTGGCCTTATGTAACATTACCATCAAAATGCAACGTTCTTGTGAGAGAACAGTGTGAATGCTCACTTTCAGCTGTGGTGATGGCTCAGGGACCACACACTTGCCCTTTGAATCTAAAGGAGAGATTCAGGCATAGTCCAAATAGTGCCTCTTCCACGTAGTCCACCTACAGTTCCCAGCCCGAGCACAGTCTGTATTCTATAAAGGAGGGAACTTCCGAACACCCCGAGAGGCGAGGTAGAGGACAGAACGGAGAGCCGCGACCTTTATGGTATGACGATAAAGGAGGAGAAAGAGTGGGGGGAGAGATATCAGATGGGCAGGAAGGAGCACCATGGAGAGTGAAGAGATTCCAGTCCGCTGCCACCGAGGGGGAGGGGTGGGGGGGGGAGAGGAGGGCGGAAAGAAAAGAAGGAAGCAAGGATTTGAAAATTGTCTCTCTTATGGGGGAGGGGACATCAAGGACTCTCCAATCCACGTCTATATAAATAGGGGAGCAGCGAGAACGATCTTTACAAGGAAGAGCCCGAGAGTCGATATGAGTTGGCTTGCCGGAATTCAGGAGAGACAGAAGGAATGATAACAGAAGGTTCCAGAAAACGGTTCGGGAACTTGTATAAAACATCTCCCCAAAATGGTAACGACAGTTAAAATCACTTAAAGGACAGGCTCCGGCGATGATTCTAAAAGGAGCACGAGATCAGGAAGAAAAATCGGAAATGGAGAGGAAGGAAAAGAACAGATAGAATGCCATTTATTCACAAATATATGAGGGGAGGTATAATGAATATTCAACTGAAATAGATGGGGAACAAAAGGAACATTGTTCCGGAGCAGGAGAACAGTAGAGTTAGGAGTACCAGAAGAAGTTGGAGTGGAGGAGAGAAAGGAATAACGACGGAATTGACCAGCACGAATTCCAAGAATCAGTTCCTGGAGACAGACAAAAAACAGTGAAAATTACAAAATCAAAAACAGCAGCTCACTATAATTGACATAAAAGCCACTGACATTCAATTGAAGAAAATATATAACAAATAACAGATGTAACAAAAAGACAAAAATAACGTAAAGAAATGTTGACCAGACCACACACTAGAAACACACACATACTTCAGCCTCGTTATTGTGACTCATCGCCTGCAACGTAAATAAATGAGATGAAGAGCACAAAACAAGATACGGTCAGTGGTCAGGATCAGAGAAATCAGGGATGCTGGCAAAGGAAAATTCAACAGAGACTATTGGGTCGTGAGAGCTATGGGAAGGAGCACAGGAGAGCTAGCAGGGGCCGGGAGGAGAAGAAGGTGCAGGGAACAGGTGGCTTAGGGAGGCAGGCTGGCCGAGGAAGGATAGAAACGATAACGTCCTCTGGAAAAGGAGCATTATCAGAGGAAGAAACAAAGGCAACAGGAACACCTACATCAGGGTCTGAAGGCTTTGCTATGGAGAGGGAAGGAGTGACGGAGGGGCGCCTGAGAAGACTTATGCCTTCTTATCTGCTGGAGGGAAAGAGGGAGAAGAACAAATTTGCGTTTCTGAGTGATACATGTGGGAGATTGCATCAGAAACAAGAAACAGTGGAAAAGACTGAGAAGGAAGACGGGACCGAGGGGCGGTGAGGCCCCACAGAAGATAACGAAGATCTAAGAGACGTGTTGACAGGAAATGCAGTCCGCAAGGCGCTGAGGTAAAACACTCACCCCAAGCCTAGGAAGTGATTTGGCCTAGGTTCGTATCCTTGCCGGAGAGGATTGACTAGGCACCAATTATTCTCTGTACGCCTCTGTTCACCCAGAAGTGAATGGGTACTGGTTCCTAGACGATTTGGTGGGTCGTATTCCTGGGAATATTACAATTAAGGACCAGACCGAAATGCTATGCATACTAGTGACTTTGCAAGAATGTAATGTAAGAAAACCACGGGAAGGGAAAAACTGTAAAGGGGTGGTGGAAACTGTAAACCATAGCATGAGAGGTATGGAGGGAGCCACATTTCAACTGCCTGCTGGCAGGAGTATTTCCCTCCTGCAGGATGTACCCGGCGGTGGTTCGCTGCGTCAGTCCTGGGGGCGCACGCCTTCTGCAATATCATCGTGCTGAGTAGACATCTATGACTCCACCCACTAGACTTTGGCTTAATTCTACTTCTACGCAGCATTGTAGAACCTCGCCACCTTCTATTCCTACCTCATCTACCTCTGAAGCCTTGTGTTGTGTCCGATAAGACCTTTAGACTATAGACAGAAGGTGAGCCGCTGTTAACTGTAACCCGTGATACCTCGTGGAGAACCGCCGACATTAGCCAAGTTCCTCTACAGAGTAATATGCACCGACGTGGATCGTTGGAGAGCAGAGAAAGAAGAGGAGTTTGTGGATGTGTTGGGACTTAAGACATGGGAACAGCTGGGTCCTTACGAGGGTCGGGCAGAGGAGCGCGATATGATGCACGAGCATATATCATACCAGAAAAAGAGGAAAGACGGCGGACATAAATTCTTGCTTCTGGGAAAGAAATGTGATCTCTATGTCGAAGGTGGAAGATGGCTTGTTCAAACTTATAATGAAGACTTGGACACAAAATAATTGGGTAAGCATCACCTTGTATTAGAATGGCCTTAGAGCCACACAAGCGGCAAAGGAAACCCCCACTGCAATATTTTGAGGCTCAAGGCCTGAACTTACAATACCTATTACAGAGAGGCGGAGAAGGAACGTATTCGTGAACGGAGCACTTGACACCAGCAAGAATTACTGATGACAACTGTGGGTTGGTGACTTTGGTGATCTTGACGACATGAAGAGGACGATGACCATGAGGTGAGCGGCCGAGTGAACGTGTTAACCTGGAGTGCAGGATGACCCTGAGCCTCGAGAATATACTCAATAACCTCATGGCGGTCTTTGAGTACCGTCCCCCCATCTCAAGATGGGGTGGAAGAAGGATTGTTGTCGCTGCAGGAAGCGTAGGATCCGGACGGCGAGTGCGTCACCTCGAGCCACCCGGAAGGAGTGGGCCAAAGACGCCATAGTAACTTTGGAAAGGGATAGGTCTGAAGGAGTAATCAATGCCTGATGCAGACGAGGAGTCACAATAACATGGCTGAAATATGTTGACCAAACCATACACTAGAAAGTGAAGGGACGACGACGTTTCGGTCCGTCCTGGACCGAAAAGCCTGATCTTAGCCTACCACAGCCGGAGCTATGGAGCCCGTTTATCCAACACGGTCCTACCTGGGGATCTGGTCGCCCACCTCACGCGTCTGAGCAAGTAAACATGGACAGAAGGAAACTTACAAATAACATAAACACCTCGCATCCCCACCTACCACGAAACCCAACAAGGGAAGGCATAAGAACAGGGGCAAGCAGCCTCAGGGGAGTAACCAGAACAGTATACGCGGGGTAACCACTGAGGGGCTGAATATGATGCACGATAACGGTCCCATGGACCGTTAAGGATACTAACCCGACAATGCTCACTTGCCTCGATGTCCAACTTAGCGAGCTTAGCAGACGAGCTGACTGGTTCAGGAAGCCACACTGAGCCTCCAGTTCAACCCCCCCCCCCCCCCCGCCACCCGTACCAACACCTAAGAAGAGTGTTGCCTCAGGGGCCGCAGCTGCAGGATAGGGTCAACTCCCAGTTGAATGAATATAAAAGAATGCACGGGTCTCAACCCATGGGTAACATACGTGGGGTGAATTTTCATCAGCCTTCCATTAAATGATATCTGTGTGGGTTGTGTTACTTGTTTCATATACGGTAATGTGACTTATTCTCAGTATATTCTGTAATCTGACATAAAACATTTTATTTCAGCATTGAGAAGGGTATACCAAGGTACAACTTCAGCCAGCTGGACCGCCTGCTGGACCACCTGCATCACTACCAGCTACGACCAGGCTTCGAGCTCATGGGCAACCCAGGCGGACTCTTCACTAACCTGGAAAACCACACTCAGGTGGTCTGGTGGAGGAGACTCGTCGCTCACACTGCCACCAGATACATTGGTAGCATTACCTTGCTCTTTGTATTTGTTAAAGTGTTCCTGCTTAGTCTACATTATTTAGGACCCCATAGCCATGCTCTGGGTAACAGGCAAAGTTTTTATAGCAGCAAGTAATGTGTTAATATTCTGGATCCCCATAATCTTAACGCTAAACATTATACATATATGAAGTATTAGTAAAGTGTCTGCACTAACGTAAACATTTTTGGTATATTTAACCCAAATTTCTGGTAGTAAATCAGATTTAATAAAATATTTAAACATTTCTTCATTATGTATCTTAGGTATGCTTCGATATTTTGGTGACTACAGCGGCAACATTATGTAACTGTTTTTCTCATTGTTGTGGTGACCTGTGGTGACCTCGCGTGACCTGGGATGGTCGTGGTGGTGACCTGGGATGGCTCGGGTCAGGTCGCTACGGGCTGCCGTGGGTGACCTCCTGGCTCTGGGAGACCTGGAATGAACCCGACCACCACGACTTTGACAACCTAAACTTCACCGTTCAAGGTTGAGTAGCTGATATGTTCTCAACCCCTATTATTCTAATTGATTATCTCTACCTATGTAAACTGAGGAACTGTTTGTGTCATAGATATTAACGTTTAGTCTTCCTCTTCTCACTGTCACAAGGAAATAAGCCGTTCGCTGGTGTGCGGCAGTATAGAAAATATTTTGGATATTTTGAACTTATGGAATATTTTTACAAATTAATGTCCACCGTGTGAATAGTGAATACATTGTTTTCCCACAGCTATATACATTATGTTCATTAACGTTGGAATATGGTTAAGTTAATTAAACAAATCACTTTATTAATATCTACTTTGCACTGTGTTTGTATCATCACTGGCACAGGTTTCCTTAATTACTACGATGCGTGCCGGGCTGGGCTGGAGGATGTGTCGCCCAGGCTGGTGATGGGCGGCCCTGGGGGCTCCTGCAGGGACCCGGGCTTCTCCACCCTGTGTTGGGCGCTCCTACAACACTGCCACAACGGCTCCTCCATCTTCAACCCGGCCTCGCCTCCCACAATTGACTATATCTCCTTCCATAAGAAAGGTCAGTATAGGAACACGAGTATGTGTGTGTACTCGCCTTGTTGTACTTGCGGGGGTTGAGCTTCAGGTCTTTGGTCCCGTCTCTCAACTGTCAATCAAATGGTGTAGAGGTTCCTGAACCTACTGGGCTCTATCACATGTACATTTGAAACTGTGTATGGAGTCAGCCTCCACCACATCACTGCCTAAGGAATTTCATCTGTTAACTACTCTGACACTGAAAAAGTTCATTCTAACCTAAAAGTTTCCACCTGTGTCCCCTTGTTCAAGAACCACCCATGCTAAATATTGTTTTGTCAACCCTGTCAATTGCTCTGATAATTTGAAAGGTGGTAATCATGTCTCCCCTAACTCTTCTGTCTTCCAGTGTCGATTGGCTTAGCTCCATTATTCTTTCCTCGTAGCTCATACCACTCAGCTCGAGGACTAGCCTGGTGGCATACCTCTGAACTTTTTCAAACTTCGTTTTGTGTTTAACTAGGTATGGACATCACGCTGGATCCGCATAATCCATTATCCGTCTTACATGTGTGTTATACAAGGTTCTAAATGATTCCTTACAAAAGTATCTGATGGTAGTTCTGATGTTAGCTAATCTTGCATGCGCCACTCATGTTATTCTTGTGATGAGGGATTCAGGAGATAGGTTCGGTGAGATATCAACTCCTAGATCTTTCCTCTGTCCGTTTCATGAAGGACTTCGTCTCCCATTCGGTACCTTGTGTCTGATCACCAGTTCCTTCCATCTACTTTCATCGCCTTATATTTACTTGGGTTTGTTGTGATTTACTTGCTATTTGTTGGATCGTTCCTTCAGTTTATCTAGGTCATCTTGCAGCCTCTGCTATCTTCGGTCTTGATCCTCCTCAGAATTTTTGTATCATCAGCAAATATTGAGTGGAACGAGTCTATTCCCTCTGGGAGATCATTTATATATATCAGAAACAGAATAGGTCCAAGGACTGACCCCTTCGGGACTCTACCAATGATATCTCGCCACACTATAACCTCACCTCTCACAGTGACTCACTGTCTTCTGTTGCCTAGGTATTCCCTTATCCAGGGGTGCAATGCCAATTTTATAGGTGCCGGAGCTCTAGCGGGCCTGACAAAAGCCTGTCATTTGCTATCCTGTTTCTATATACTTCACACGTCTTAAACTCTGTAGAAGTAAAAAGTGTTACATTGCTTTTATTTGCACATACTTTACACCCATGTTTATCATCCCTGAAGAATAACCATGGATAGTTTTCCTTTTTCCTTCCACATTTCTTCAATCCAAACACCTAAACAGGGATACAAGTTAGACTTCAAAGCTCCATTACGTTCTGAATTGCACGTGGATCAATTTTGAAAATTTGAACTAGAAGCAGTCGAAACATAACTTTTGCCACTTTCATTTATCATTATCAGTCTCCCGTACATTATTCTTCTTACACTCTTCATTTTGTTTACGATAAAAGGAGAGTCAATATTGTTGGCTTAGAAGCCATGATGGTGTTGTTTGTGAGAATTAATGCTTCTGTATTAGAGAGAAATCCAGGGACCACCAGCCACCATATCACTAATGCCCCTGAAACACACAAGCAGAGTTGCCAACTCAGTATTTTACACGACGCCAGAACCACTAAATTATGTAAAGTTGTGTGTAGCAGTTTTGTCGTTTTACCTGCCTAGTAAAATATACTAAATTATACTATTGTATGAATTATAAAGAATAACTGTCTAATGAACTACTGCTAAAGCCATGAACATTATCGCTGAATATTAGAATCCAAAGAGGTAGGTTGGCAACTTTGTCTCATACCGTTTGTCTGGCATAAATGGACAGGAAGCCTCCACCTGCGTCAGGAATTGTTTCCAGATTCCTACCAGTACAATTCATCCTGTTTACTTTTGAAATATATTTACATTTAAATATCATTGAATCTTTAAAAATACGAAGACATATTATAACATGTTTAACTTATTAGTGATGTAATACAGGGCAGGATTTTTCTGCCATGATCAACCATCACCCACAAGCCATCATCTCTCTTTCCTTATCCATCATCCACTTGCAGAGGTGTCGGAGCTCCGGCAGCACTGCACCACTGCCCATAGCCATTGGAGTACCTTCCCTTTTACCCCTGCCTGCATTTCCAGCTTGTGCTCTAGTCTCCTATGGGGTACCATGTCAAAGGCTTTCTTGCAGTCCAAAAATATGCAGTCAGCACACCCTTCTCTTTCTTGCCTAATTTTTATCGCCTGGTCATAGAATTCAAATAATCCTGTGAGGCAAGATTTGCCATCCCTGAACCCATGCTGATGATGTGTTAAAAAATTATTTCACTCCAGACGTTCTACTAGTTTTTTTTTAACACAATCTTCTACATCACCTTGCATGGTATTCAAGTTAGGAACATCAGCCTGTAATTCAGTACCTCCTTTCTCCCTTCTTGTATATTGGAACTACAATAGCCATCTTCCAAATTTATGACAGTTCTCCTTTTTCCAGTAATTTGCTATACACCATTAAAATTGGTTGACACAGTGCTTCTGCTCCTTCTTTTAGTATCCATGGTGAGATTCCATCAAGGCCTACAGCCTTTGCCATATCCAATTCAAGCAAATGCTTCCTCCCCTCCCCACTGGTAATTACAATCTCCTAAAGTGGTGCCTGGTTAGATATTCCCTCTTTTACCTCTGGTACTTGTCCTTGCTCTAAGGTGAAGACCTCCTGGAATTTATTATTGAGTTCCTCACACACCTCTATGTCATTTGTAGTGAACCTGTCTGCCCTTGTCCTCAGTGTCATTACTTCCTTCTTCATTGTTTTTTCCTTCAGCTGCGGCTGTGCATCAACTTGGGTTGAGTCTTTGCCTTGCTTGCTATGTCATTTTCGTACGGTCTTTCTGCCTCTCCTCTTCTCACCCTGAAGTACTCATTCCTGGCACTCTGGTATATTTCTCTGCTCTCTGGTGTCCTATTATTTATTTAGTTTCTTCATGCCCTACTACATAGTGGTTTTGCCATCTTACATCCCTGATTAACTGATTAAACCATGGATTCCTCATTTGCATTTAGTTTCTTTCTTTGGGACCGGGACAAACTTGTCTGCTTCCTCGTTCCACTTCTGCGTGATGTAGTCCATCATGTCGTGGGACATCTTTCCTCTGAGCTTTGTTACCCATCTTATATCTGTTAGGAATGTTCTTATCTCCTCGTAGCTTCCCTTTCGAAATGCCAGCCTTTTATTTTCTGATCCCTTCCCTACTTCTACCATATACTCAAATATCGGTACACTGTGATTGTTCAAGGGATCTTCGAAGGTAACTTCCCTTGTGTCCGAGTCGTTCAGAGTGAATATCAGGTCAAGTTAAGCTGGTTAATTATTGATTCTCATTCTTGTGGGTCCCCTGATATTCTGGTTTAAAAAGTTTCTTGTTGCCACATCCTGTAGTTTAGCTCTCCATGTTTCTTCACCTCCATGCAGTTCCATGTTTTCTCTGTCTATATTTCATGGTTGAAATCTCCCATGATAAGCAAATAAGATCAACTTCAACAGGCGAAAAAAGGCTGCCCTCTAAATGATAGTATTTACTGCCATGTTGTCTGACAAACTCCTGCCTAGGTCTTCTGTCATTTGGTGGAGGGTTATATATCACTGCTAGAACTACTCTTGGTCCTCCTATCGCCATGGTGCCTGTTATGTAGTCTCTGAATCCCTCGAAGCCCAGGATAACCATCACCTCGAAACTCCATTCATTTCTTATCCCTCCATCTCCTCCCCTTCCTTCACTCTCTTTTCTTATTACAGTGTGATCATGGAGGGAAACACTGCAGCCGTTATGATATATGAGAGTTTTGTTTCCGTATGTGCTATTATTTCCGGGATTTTCTATTGTGCTCTTGTTCACTTGCATTGTTTGTAATCCCATCTATGTTTGAGTACATTACTTTAAAGCTGACTCTCTTCTGTTCAGTCTGAGTTACCTTTGATGCCCCTGGGATTGGAGGGCATGGAGGGTCTGTGATGGGAGGGCATGGAGGGTCTGTGATGGGAGGGCATGGAGGGTCTGTGATGGGAGGGCATGGAGGGTCTAGGAAGGAAGGCTGAGAGGGTCTGGAATATTAAGGAGCTGGAAGGGTTTGGGATGTGGGGGGGTGTGAGATTTTTTTCTATGCCTACCTCCCTTAGGAGGTGGACTACAAATTTGAAGGCTGCTCACGGCAGTTAAGCATGAGTCCAATAGAAAAAGGAAAAGCGGGAGCAAACCGCCAGGCCTCCACCACTAGGGGTGAAAACCTGTCCACAATAGGCCGCTGGCTCCTCCTACTTAAACAGGATGTTAAAACTAATAAAGGGTAACCGACAAGTTCTCACAATCAAGTATTTATATTTGATGTGGCGCTATGAATTGGAATTGGAATTCCCAAGAACAGCCGTCATATCAAGATCACATCAACATTTAATCGTAATATGCAGAAACATGTGTGGAATAATATAGTTGAAGGGTTGACAACAAAGACCGTTTTCTATAACATAACAATTTATTAATAACAAGAGACTAACTACTTCATTACCGAGTTTACGTTACGTTAATGTCCATCCAGTGGCACAATAACAAACAGCTAAATAGCAACCCTTGCTGTGAGGCTGCATACTGAACTAACCTGAACACAGGTGTGCCCACTGATGACGCAATATTGCAAATTAAAGAAAAATATCACAGACTAAGTTACTCCACAGCGAATGGATACGTTATTGTCCATCCAGTGGCAATTGCATCACAGCTATTCAACAGCCCCTTGAGAAATGACAGCAGGCTCCATCCTGCTGACACTTCGGGCTGACAAGTGAACTAACTGAACAATGATGCCTACTGGAGACACAAGCATGCAATCTATAGTGTCACGGTTTCCCTGACAGCTACTATAATCCCAAGCTTAAGGGTCCTCCCGCCCCCCAGGAGAGACCCACGTAACTAGGCGGGTAGTCCAACAGTGACTCCCCCTATC